TGACTTTTATGTTTGTGTTTGTGTATGTGTACAGACTGTATAGTAATACACGCACTAAACTCGCACTCACTCGTACGCTAAAGTCGCATAAACTTAAGTAGTACCTGATATGCATGAATGACTCGTTCTTTAGAACTCTCTTGTACATGTCTAAAATAATTGTTCACCAGATATAGTAAGAGAGAGGGAGAAGATGATGTAAAAAAGAATGAATTTTTTTTTCTCCTTTTTTCCGACCTTTTTCCGCTCATAAAAAACACATTTCATTATAATTGTTCAAAAACGAATTATCTTCACTAAGAAACACTTCAAGTATTTCATTATACGCCTTTAAAGTTGCCTCAAAAAGATATTTAAACGAATTACAAAGAAAATGCAAATTACTGTTAATGTATATTGTAGTAAAAATTTTTGCTTTCAAGAAGAGAAAACCTATCTGTTTTTATAGCATTAATAATAATTCTACTAGTAATATAGGGTTGCCACAAATATTTAATTTTTGTTTTTCCCTGATTGCCAGACAAAATATTGACTTTTTCCCTGACCCTAACGAATACTCTAAATAATTATCATTAAGAAATGAAAATGTTTTATATAAAACTGTTACACGGAGAGACCCACATTCGTAAAAATTACTAAAAACGGTTGCAATGACCGGAAATAAGGGGACTTTTAGCATAATGTACTACAGAATTAGATAAATTTACAAAAGAAATAGATAAATTTGCTACATTGAAATAGCAAGTTTTAATATTTTGTGTAAGAGTTGTAAATGTAGCGAAAATTGATTATAGTTTTCTCTAATTTAATTAGACAAAATCTGACAAATGAAAACATTTTCCACTAAAATCTTCTATCCACTGTAGTAATTTTTGGTGAGCAAGTGTGGCTAGCGAGTGCAGTCATATGGCGCCTGTACTTCTATTGGTTGCTAACCTCGTCAATCTCCGTAAATGAGCCGATGCCTTCCGATCATTGACAGTGACTATGTTTCGCGTATGTAAAATAAATTTGGATATTATCTACAATAATTAAATATAAAGTGAAACGTAGGTCGTTCGGTATCTCAGAAATTGACCATTATAAATTAATAAATTTTGCATTTATTCCTGTCCCAAGAAGTATGTCTTATAATAAGTTGTTAAAAGTAAACTGCTTTCTCGTAAGTGCTGTAAATTTTCATCATTCAATATATAAGGAAACAAAGATGTATACTTTCAGTGAAATTCGTTGTCGTGCGTGCAGTTGTGTATTAGTGTATTAATTAACCGCGTCTATACATATAAGTGAAATAAACATGTGTGTGTCTTCAAATATTTATCCAACAACAAATATATAAGTGTGTGAGTGTGTGTGTCTGTGTATGTAAAAATCCTTCCAGTTTACCTCCACTAGTCAAGAATTGACGGGAAACCGGCGACAAAAATCCGTATTTTTTCTTTTCACTCTTTCTTTCTGCATTTACAACGACTATAGTAATTTTACGTACACAATGTTTCTGAGTTTTACTACAGTTGTTTGGAACTATTGGACGAAATAGTAAGAAACTTTGCTAATTTGGTGAACATTTGTCGGGATTAGTGACTTAGTGTAGAAAATAGTAAAAAATACAAAAAGTCCCCTTATTTCCGGTGGTTGCAATGTGAATATAGTAAATTCTAGTGTGATTTTATACAAAAATTAGTAATCTCGGTCTCTCCGTGTACTTTTATTAAGAAGAAAATATTTATTAACAGAAAACTTATTAAGGATCAGTAGAAGAAAAATTGAAAATATTTTTGAAGAAACTGTTACCTTTAGCAGATGGAAAAAATATATATATCTCTTAACAGAAAACTTATTAAGGATCAGTAGAAGAAAAATTGAAAATATTTTTGAAGAAACTGTTACCTTTAGCAGATGGAAAAAATATTTATATCTCTTAACAGAAAACTTATTAAGGATCAATAGAAGAAAAATTTAAAATGTTTTTAAGAAACTGTTACCTTTATTAAACGGAAATAATTTAAAAACCGATATGACTTTTTGTATTAAAAATCTATTTTATTTATTAATCGCTAACAATATATGAAAAATTTATAACATGATAACAATCTGTGATATATATGAGAAAAAAAGATCTCGGTTGTATATTGCTTTATTCGCAGATGAAATCATGACAATGCGAGTTTGATGAACACATTAGAAAAGCTCGTGAGAGAATGTCGGTTTTCTAACGCTGCGTGTGTATTATTGTTGTTGAACCATCAAAGAATTCTTGTATGCTACTAACGTTCTAGCTTAGAATCTTGGATAGCAGCCAACTTGGGAGCAACTCACTCATTTGTCCAGGTGGTTAAATAAAACAATCCATCGGTCCAGACAAACACCATACACACACACACAGGTCATCGTATCACGAACTCAGAGAAATAAAATATTTTCTATATTTTAAAAATCTACAATAGAAAAAGTTAGTAAACTCATCTTAAAATATTTGTTTTTGATTTTTTCGCAGTATTTTAAAATAAAAAGGGGTTTTTATAATAGGGAGAGTTTTTCTGTATATATTTAACACAAGAACCTGATAATGTGATTCTAATTTTAAAATGTCTGTAAGCAACTAGAGCAGACTGTAATCTTTGAACAAAAGATCAGATATGTGCGAGTATTTATTTGTTGCATTCAAATGTTTGTAGGTTACAATGTATTGAAAGTATCATGTGAGCTATTGACTTTCAGTAAACGATAAAAGCAACTTGATTAGTGATATCAATCAACAAAGTTTTCTAGATGTCATGCATTTAGCAAAACAGTCTGTGTTTTTTTAATTTTTGAAGAACATCTCTTTGCAAGTGCAGTTTGTGGCATTTATAATATTAAAATAATTACACTCTTTAACTTAAAAGTATCAAATGGCAACGAATTGATATCAAAATAAAAAATTGATCCAAATTTTTAAAAAAATACACTTTTAGCAACTTTTTTCCGATGTTCCAGAAGTGCTCAAGCATGAGAAACTTATTAAAGATCAATAGAAGAAAAATTACGAATCTTTGATTCAAGAAACATTTTCAAGTTTCTTAAATTTTTAATCTTGTCCAGATTAAAATTTTTTTAAAAAATACTCAAGAATGAGTATGAGAAACTTATTAAAGAGCAGTAGAAGAAAAATTACGAATCTTTGATTCAACCTGAAACATTTTCAATTTTTTTAATCTTAAATTTGTCGAAAGGATTAAAATATTTTAAAAATACACTAAATGGGCGCGAAGAATTTTTTTCACAAGTTTATTTTTTGAAACAATTAAAATTTATGAGAAGTAGTATTATAAGTCAGTATAGAAGAAAAATTATAGCAAAACATTACGACTATGAAAAAATACCTCATCTTAAATATAAATTATTAAAAAAAAACTTAACATTAAAAAATAGTTGACGATTACGATAGTTTCATTTTAAAAAAAGGGACTTTTTACATGGAGTTAATGATGTTTTCAGTGGCTTGACAAATGGGGGCGGAACATTTGTCAAAACAGCCTCAAGCATCTTTTATGTGTTCGCCACACTTTGAGTTTGCTCTTTGTGGCATAATCGACGTCATCTCTCTTCAAGTCCTTGCATCACTAGCTTATGTCATTGATTTCATTTTTTTTCACAGTAGCTATTCGAATGTCGAACTATGATATATAAATCATTGTCGATGTACGAATTTTGTCTGCAAAAATTCAGAGTTAAAAAAAATAAATATATAAAGATAAAATAATAAAAAATAAAAAATATAGAGTCATGTTATTATATTTTATAGGAAAGTTATTAAAAATTACTAAAATTCTTCTTTAAATCGAATATTTTTTTAATAATTTTCGAAAAAGTTCTTTAAAAATTTTTAAATCTATTTGTTTACAATAATTAATTTTACGGAATTTCAATTATTCGCAAATTCTTCAATTAAACAAATATTAGAAAATAAAAACTTGAAATAATATAAAAACAATTTAATTAAACTTAAAAAAAAATTAAATTCAAAATTCAATTATATTTCTAAAAATTTTTAATTTTTATTAGAAAATTCTACGAGAATTCAATTATTTAAATACAAACATATATAATTTATAGAATTGAATGCTTTTTAAAATTCAATTCCCATAAAGAATTTTATCCAAAAATTTCTAAATAATAACATAATAATAATAAATAAATAATAATTTGGAGAAGAAGTTAAATAGTTCTTAACAAAATTGAACAAAATTTATCTTTCTAATAAAAATTGTCCATTAATTTAACAAATGTATTTACAATTTAATTACCAAAATAATAAAAAGAAGAAAAGTAAGATTTACGATCAGTAGAAGAAAGAAAAAAAAAGATTTATAAATAAATACGTCTATTTTTATTTATTTTAATTTTACGTCGAAATTTTTATATATTCTAAGATAAAAATTTTTTATTTTCTAAACTATTTCTGATTATAGTTTATTTATAATTTAATTACCAAAATAAGAAGGAAAGTAATAAGTTTTATTCCTAGAAGAAGAAGAAAAAATGATTTATAAACAAATACAACAATATTTTTATTATTTTTATTTTACCTCGAAATTTTTATAAATTCCAAAATAAACCATTTTTATTTTCTAAAAAATTTCTGATTATAGTTTATTCTTAACCGTAAAAGTAGTAAAAAGAAGGAAAATAAGTTTTACGATCAGTAGAAGAAAAAGAAAAAATTATTTATAAATAAATACCTCAATATTTTTATTTTACCCCAAACGTTTTATATATTCTGAGATAAACCATTTTTTATTTTCTAAATTATTTTTGATTTTTTTTTTAATGTATAGAACTTTATCAAGAATTAAGGAAAAGATGGATTGCTAAAAAAGTTATTTTAAAATATAATATGTTTTGTTTGAAAAACTTTTAAAAAAATATATATTTATAAATTAAAAATATTTAATTTTAAGTGTAAATTTAAATTTATGAATTGAAAATCAACATTCTTTTTTTTGTTCTGATTACAGGTGGTCGTTAGACACACAGGCAGAATCGGCGAAGAGTCCAGATTGTCAGCAGAATGTTTATGAGATAGCATCTCAATATTTACAATCTTTTTGCTAAAGCTACATTGCCATGTTGTTTAGGTAATTTCTTTCAATAATTTAATATAATTGCATGCAAATTAAAAATTTTTAAATAAAATTCGTCGCAAGAATTCAATTATTTTCATGAGTTAAAAAATTCAATTCAATATAAAAAAATACAATTTATTTTTATATTATATTACTAAAATCTTAAAAGAAATTTTATATCAAAGCTTCTCGGGACAGTGCCCACAGTTATTATTTTAATTTAAATTCTGATTGTTTTGATATTCTAAAGGAAAAAAATAAAAATAACTTGTAATTTCTCCGACAGCTGCAAAAAGCAATTATAAACAGATGGTTATAGTTAAGATTTTCAATATTCTACCTATAGAAAGAATTATTTAAATTTATTGAGTGAAAATAAATTTTTATTTTATTGTTTTTGGCTAAAAATCTTTGACATTGAAATCGTAGAGGCTAAAAATAACATCCCTACTACTTTTTAAAAAATTTATAAATTTATTAAAAAATAAATATAGTTAAGTATAAATTTGTAAATTTATTTAAATTAAAGATATTTATTTAAATATTTTAAATAATAGTTATAATATCAAATAGTTTTAAATAATACCAAAAATAGAATAATTAAAAAGTTTCTCAATATCTAATGCGGGAGCTATTTAAAGAGTCATGCACAATTGTGATCTTGGTAAATATCGTTCGAGTACGACCGTGTATAGATATTATAAATACATGTTATCATGCTGCTGTATTATTTTAATGCGTTATCTCGATTCACGTCCGCCGTTGCAAACACGCCCGTTATGTTGCTTTTGCTTGCCGTCTACTTTAAACTCTTAAAATCTTACAAATAATACCCGATGGGATGATGTTACTATTATTATATAGTTGTTTTTTTAATAGCAAAAAGAAAATAATATTTACATTGAACCCCGTAGTATATTTTAAGGGAATTTTTATTTTATCATTTAAAATTTATTTTCAAATATATTCAAAAAAAAGAAAATTATTTTTATAAATAAAATTAATTTTTATGAAATTTTTAATTATTTACTTAATTTTTTATTAATTTTTTAATTAATTAATAAAAATTAATTTAATATTTTAAAAAAAAATTAATTTTAAAAAAAAATACTGGGAATGGAATATTTCTGTCATCACTTATTTTTACATAAAGCAATAATAGTGTTTAAGTATGAGTAGCCGCTGGTAAAAAATGGCACGTGTGATGCTAAAATAAGAACACGGCTATTTTTTTTTATATATTCATAATCTTTCGGAATAACGAAACAAGTGCGACAGAGTTTAGAGACTGTTGTGTTACATACTGATTGGAATTACCATTTGTCCATATTAACAGTACGCGAAATAATCTATTTTCGATGTAAGAGTTTCAGGATTTCACTGATAATGAAACACTGATAAGATAATAATAATTAACCTGAAGTTTTGAAATATTCATTATTAATGGAATATTTTTGGCAATTTTTTTCTTTTCTTTCTATTTTATAATTATACAGTTTTCTTGAAACTAATTGATACTAAAGTGGATCAAATTGATGCGAAAAACTTGGATAAAAAATTTGAACACTTTTGCTCGCATTATTGGAATATCAAAATTAGTTGCAATTTGATACAGTTAACAGTGTCAGGAGAGTTTTGTTTTGGAAAATAAAATTTTCTCTGTTAAACCTTTTTTTTTAAAAATTAAATTTTTAAAAACTTATTAAGAATCAGTAGAAGAAAAATTGGAAATATTTTTCAAAAAACTGTTGCCTTTGACAGATGGAAAAAATATTTATATACCTATCTCTTAACAGAAAACTTATTAAGAATCAATAGAAGAAAAATTGAAAATGTTTAAAAATTTGTTACCTTTGACAGATGGAAAAAATATTTATATACCTATCTCTTAACAGAAAACTTATTAAGAATCAATAGAAGAAAAATTAAAAATATTTTTGAAGCAACCTTTAACAGTTGGAAAAAATAATTATATCTCTTAACAGAAAACTTATTAAGGATCAGTAGAAGAAATTTTAATCAAAGAAGAAAGTTTAAAAGTAAATTCTTTAGTTAAAAAATTTGCAAGTAAAGAAAAACATTTTTTTAAAGATTTCATATACAAAATGAAATATAAAATATAAAACTGTTGAGCGGAATTTTCTTCTCACTTTGAGATTCTATTTTTTTCGGTGATATTAAAAGATTTATCATAATATTAACATTAGGATAAATAATTTTTTCTGTATCCTAAACGAATATAAATGGATATTTAATTATCACTATATATTTGTCATATGTAATTTTAGAAAGATTACTGACATTTTTTTGTAATTATTGTACATTTGATATTTTTCATGTTTTAAAAAACATTCAAAGAAAAGGTTAGACGATAACAATCTTTGCTTTTACGAAATATCAATCATAATTAAAAAAGAATATAAAGATGTTAACAGTTTTTTCATGCTATATAAGAATAAGTGTCACTCACAGAAGTAACCATACAGATATGTAATATTCGTTTTAAATGACATTGTCCTATAAAAAATCCATTTAATTTGACATATCGTATGTTTACAATATTGCGCTCTATAAATAGAAATCAGTTTCATCATCTTTTTCTTGGTACATAATGAATGAACCTCTAAGAAACACTTGAATGAATGAATGCATTTTTAAAAAACTCTGAAAGAATATTATATTTTTGAAAAAATCAACACCTTTAGATAAGTTAATTTCCATTAGAAAAGTTATCTTAAGAAAATGTAACTTAACAAAAGATAGTCAACGTTTATTCTTATAAACTATGTGTTTATATTAATAAAACTGATTTTTATAATTAAGATAGGCATAAATAAGACATTAATTTCTACATGATCTTCAGATCCTATTCAGATAAAATGCAATAGACTGCCTATAACAAAAACATATTTTTTTCTCCATATAAGTTAGACGATAATAATCTCTCTGTTTTGATACATCTTCGTAGACAGTAAAGTTTTCAGTGAATGTTCGACACGTGCAATCGTTTGCAATTGTAATAAACATTTTCTAGTGTCACTTACCACTTATAACTCTATGACTAATCATTTTCTTTAAAAAAAAAAAAAATTCGACCAATGCACATAAATTATTGAGTATTAGTTTCTTATTATCGAATCATCGGACTTAGAAAATTATTTCAAGACTTTAATTTCTCAAAAATCTTTAAATTTTTAAAGGGTATAAATATTTTTTCCGCACTGTGCGTACAAATTATAATTTTAAATCGATTTCGTTAGCATATCGATTCTCTTGATTTGTTTGGATTAAAAAAAAATCAAAATTGTAGTTATTATTGCTAAAATAAAGAAGAGGGAAAAACAAATTGAAATGAAATGTAGAACTCATGAGAGGTGAAACTACTCGATGCTGGTCGTGTATAGATACTTGAACGTATGTTGCATTTGTAATTACAATCGCATTATGTGTAATACTTTAGCACGCATGTACGCATCTAAGTATCACCATTTCCTTAGGTAGTCTACGTCTTTTTATTCTATGAGTGATTCATGTCATATTAACGTTTAATTCTTCCTTGCAGGAAGTATCCAATGTCCATACTATATCCTCTCATTTTTATTTTAAATTTAAAAAAAAAATCCCAATAACGTGTTTTCAAGTCTTTCGATTTTTTTAACTTGAATTATTTATTCAGTTTAAATTTTTAAAATATTTATCAAATTAATTTTTACTGTTAATTTTACTTTTTAATATTATCTACTTTATGCTCATAAAATTTATTCCGCATGTAGCAATAATTTTAGCAAAATGTTTTCAGTTTCCTGACGTCCTCAAGTGTGAGAAACTTATTAAAGATCAATAGAAGAAAAATTACGAATCTTTGATTCAAGAAACATTTTCAAGTTTCTTAAATTCTTACTCTTGTCCAAAGGATCAGAGTTTTTCAAAAAATACTCAAGTGTGAGAAACTTATTAAAGAACAGTAGAAGAAAAATTACGAATCTTTGATTCAACGTGAAACATTTTCCAGTCTCTTAATCTTAAACTTGTCGAAAGGATTAAAATTTTTAGAAAATACACTGAAAGGGCGCGAAGAATTTTTTCACAAGTTTATTTTTGTTTTTGAATCAAAGTAGTTTCATTTTTAAAAAAATTACAAAGTGTTGCAGTTATTAAAAATTGTTACTGGGTTTAAAAATTTGTTGTCGATTGAAGTTTAAATAAAGCGATTTCATCTTCTGAAAATTTATTTTTATCTTCTGTAGAAGGTTGTGACTCCGTAAGAAAAGAATCTATAATTTTCTCAACCCAGTAAGAATTTTTCTTTTTAGAGAATTTATTGTATAGTTGTGACAACAGTTAATTTATAGATTAAATTTTAAGAAATTTCTAACGGTGTTATATTTTATATGGTAAACACTTTTTAAAACCTGTTTGTTCTATGTTTAAACTTCGAATCATTCTTCTGCTTTATAGAGTCAATATTGGAAATTTAATTGCTGGTACACGCGCAATAATTTTTCACGTAAAAAGAAGAAAAAAAAAGAATTATTCTTATTTGCAAGGTAAAATAATACGCTTTTTTGATAACATAAATTAATTTAATTTATGCCAAGTAAGTGATTAATTAATTGAAAATTTTTTTTTCCTACATCACAACGATAAGTTTTACGCTAGATTCACGTTTATTTACACTATAACCAATATTGGCTTTGAGAAAGTGGTTTTTCTCATTCAAAGAATTGCGAATAGACGCAGTGTGCATAAAACCGTAATATAGAAAAAAAGAGAGAGAGAGAGAGAGAGAGAAAAAAACTGTCCAATTTCTATTTATAGAAATCCAGATGCTTTTTAATCACTGGGACAAGTTCGCTCTTTTAGAGGACAGTTAAAAATCTCCCAACTGGTTTTAAAACGTTTCTTCTCGAATCACTGATATAAAGTTTGCAAACCTGCTACTCAACAAATTATATATTTTCCAATTAAACTTCTCTGCACGCAACGCGATAAATGGTTTCATTAAAAATGCCTGAATCTAATTGTAAAAACGATTATTCATTACTGCGTCTATTTTTAAACTATGGCAAATATTTTTATTTGAAGAAAAAAAATTCATTCTTTTTAAATTAGAAAAGGGGTCAGAATAAAAAATCGAAAATTCAGTTTGGCAAAATAAAGGCGTGGATCTAATATGAGAATAAATTACAGAAAGAACGTAAAGTAGCTAAATAATGTATCCCTTAAAGATGGTAAAAAAAAATTCAGCGAGCAGGTGAGGGGTAAAAATGACTTAGTTATTGTTTGCGGATAATTTATTATTCGGTACCTACTCGTCTCCTACAATGAACAAATAAAGGCGGGTCTATATCACGTGTCCTATGTTTCATAATTATTGTTGAGAGTAGACTTGTCTACCTTTGTGCGGAGAATTTTATTTGGCATCTTGGTGACTTCACCCTAGAGCAATTTTTTTTCTTTATTTGCTTCTTCTTATTTCTTCATTACTGTTCTCGTTTGGATAACTCTCTGCCTCGCCGCCATACCAATCCTATATCAATTATTATAAAATGCACTCATTCGCCAAGTTATTATTAAATGCAGCGAACATTATGAGCTGTGAGTCAGAAATGTCGCTTTAAATACTGAAACAATTAAGCGGTAATTAACGCCTTTGCGACTGATGACGACGAATTGTTTAAGTTTCCTGAAATACTCAATCGTTTTAGTGATTTCCTCTTTCAGTACAATTTTTAATTTCAAAAAATATTTATTCCCTACTAAAGTAGTAGAAGAAAAATTGATGTTTTTTTAAAACTTGCCTTCATTTAACAGAAACCCCAAAATATTTATGTGTCTTAATTGAAGTATTATTTATGATCAGTAGAAGAAAAATTAAAAACACTTTTTAGAAAATTGTTTACCTTTATTAAACAGTAAAAATATTTATATCTCTTAACCGAAAAGTAGAATCTCTTAACCGAATCAGTAGAAGAAAAATTGAAAATGTTTTTTATGAAACCGCTCCCTTCATTAAACAGAAATAATTAAACAACTAAAGTAATTATTTTTGGAATACACAAAAAAATTTAAATATATAAATGTAAGAACAAGTTTTGTCTTCATGAGAAGAAACTTTTTTTGACTGGTAGAGAAGTCCAGAGATGAAATCATCATTTATAGCGAATTCATCTTCATCAATTATAGACAATGCGGAAACGGCTTTATTGTAACAGTTATTACATTCGTCTCATATATATTCTTATTTTCATTATATAATTGCAACAGGTGTGCCTTCGACCACGTGTTGTGACCGCATTCGAGATATTATTTTTAGAAAAACGATACACCCAGGATAGTTGTATTGCGAAAGGGCTTCGCTCATCTAATATATCTGTTTTCTTTATATTTTTCGAACCGTAAACTGCTATACAAATATGAATAAATAATAAATGTGAATTATATTTTCAATTTTATCGAAAACGTAAAGTAAATCTAAATGCGATGAGATATTTTTAAGGTTACATGAGATTTGCACGTGGGTTAAAATGATAGAGAATTTTCTCTTCTTCTACAAAAATATCTCATTGTTTTAGTTGATGTTTTTAAGAGAGAAAATTTTGTGAAATAATTTCTAATAGAAAATTGTTTTTATTGAATGTTTCAGGTGAGCGGGAAGGGAGGCGCTGACCGGTGGCGGCGGCGGCCATGCGCCCCGGCCCGCCAATCACGAGCCGTCGCAGGCCTCCCCGTCGCCAGCAGTTATCGCATCGTCTCAATAGGTCGAAGTCTCAAGTGCAACAGATTAAACGGCAAATCACAAACAAAGCCTTTTTTCTGTTGTTCCTGTTGGTTTCAAATCCGATTCTTGCCCTGGCAGAACCGCCGCCTAACAATGCACCACTTCCGAGTTTGGGATCTAACGATCAAATTCACCGGAAGTGCTTCTCGTCGGACGGGGACCAACGTTATTATAGCTTACCGATCTCAGAAGGTGCACCGCGAAAAATTCAAAATCTTACCATCGGTTATCTGACGGCCGTTAAGGGTGTTATGAAGGATCGACAGGGACTTGCCATCTCGGGTGCACTCTCTATGGCTCTAGATGAGGTAAGTTTATTTTAATATTGTAATGAATCTATTGTTTTAATTTTTTTCCATTGGCTTGACTCGGAGTCATCGTTAAGTCCAACAATTAATTAATTTGAAAATCGAGTGATAGAATCACTATTATTATTATTGACCATGAATCTACAAGGGTCATACAACTGTGCTTCGAATATTTTCCAATTTTCTTCTTTTCAACAAAACGGAATTTTGAAAGAATGGATTAACATCAACAAACGTGCTGCTAGATTTACCACTTAACTATACAGTTTCTCTTGAATTGTCGGACATACGATTTGACGCCTAAGCACATCGACACAATTGATTCTAGTTTGGATCATTTTTTCTTACATAGTAATACTGGTAACTTATTCGACAAATAACATAAGAATGTCTTCCTTTACCTAATTTGCATATCTACTCTTTTCGTATAAGAAACTTAAATACAATTCTAACAGCAAGATTTTGTAAATCTGTTGTAATACAGAAAATCTGTTAATTTAGTTTACTTTCACCAAGTACAAAGTATCTCCACAATCTAATTTGATTTTAATAAGACAACACTCAACGAATTCATATATTTCCAAATGAAAAAAGAAATCTTATATTGAAGGGTTGTGATTAACTACAATGCAACGTGCAATTATAGAATAAATATGATTCATAGAATTGTGCATCAGACTTAACAATTACCGAGCAAATTACAATTCCAAATGAGGATTCTAATAACTAACTCAATTCTCTTAACCCATTAACGTATCAGCTACACCCTTTCCATGATATATTATCACATCTTGTAGCAGGGCCGTATTGAAGATTAGCCTTCAGGGGGGTAAATGTAAAATCCTTGGCCATAATTTATCCGGCGTGAGGAGAGATGCTGAGAGAGAGAGAAAGGGAGAGAGAGAGCAGGAGAGTTGTGGTATATTAAAGTTGAGCGGGCAAAGGGGATTCCTTAATCACTTGTTTAATAAGAAACAGGCGTCCTCTCTTCTTTTCTTCTTGGGTGGGTTTATATTCCTGGCTAAAAATAAGTCTCTTCTCTCGCTTCACGGTGAGTTTGCCACCCAGAGTAGCCGCCCCTGGGCGTATACCTACCCTCTCGTTATACATATAGTCCAGTTAGCCAGGTTCGACGAGATGCGACGACGTTGTGTTTCGTTTCGTTACTTCTTCTCGTTCCTTTAGATATATTCGATTCCCACGATCGTGCAAGTAGTGTGCTGATGCGAGCCGTGAGATCGCCTTGGTCGTTTGCATGGTTACGCCAAAAGAAAGCAGTTCTCTGGTAGTAGTGTGTGGCTTGCAAAACGACTCACCCACCATTTAGGTATAGTCGATACTCGATTCGGAGGTTTAAAAATACAAGCCCAGTATTATTCGCTGGTCCGCCCACGCGTGCCAAACCAAACTGCGTAACCGTGAGAAGAATTTATGAAGTTCAACATTGCAAACATTTAATAATATAAAGGTCTCGTCCAAAAGAGGAAAATAATTCCTAAAAATTATGTTAAAAACTTTAATATTTTGATGAAGATGTCCAATTTTGATTCGATTCGTTTAATTCGTTCTCCATTTTGAGAATAAGTTTTAAAATTTATTCCCCTTGTAGCAAAAATGTTAGAATGTTACTAACTTTAACTTGTAATTTCAAGAATTTCCCTTTAGCAAATTTTTTACAGAGGTTCCTGAAATACTCAAATGTGAGAAACTTATTAAAGATCAGTAGAAGAAAAATTACGAATCTTTGATTCAAGCTGAAACATTTTTGTTTCCATAAGTCCAGAATTCGAACTAGATCCGTAAATTCTGTAAAAGTCCGTAAAAGTCAATTTTAAAAAAAGTCCATAAAGTTGGTAATTTGTTTTCTGATCAAGAGAAAAAAAAATCGAAATTATTTTCATAAAGTTGCAGTAGTAATTCTGGTAAATTATTCAATTGTGAACAGTCTGCAAATTTGAAAATTGAGATAGAGTATTTAAATTTTAATTATAAATTAAGAAATTACTTTTTTGAAAAAATTTCAATTTGTACTTTTCTAAATTAGTGAAATTACAAGTAATTTAAAGTTTTAAGAAAAATGTTTAGTGTATAAATAAAAGTTTTTAAAAGTATAAAGAGGTTGAAAAAAAATTCGAATAGCGGAAAACCACAGGTTTACATTGGTCTAGTGCCAAAAAATTTATAACTACCACTTAGTTCTTACATATATAGCATATTAAACTCCAACAAACCATTAAAGCGCTCTTTATAAAAATGACAAAACAAAGACATAGCACTTTTATTAAAAATGATTTATTACAAGAGAAATCTTTTACATTCTTAAAAAATTGTATGACTTAATTATAATACAATTATAATACCTATACTTTTAAATATCTCAATATTATAAATATAAAGAAATTTAAAACGTGAAATAATTATACATAACATAAAATCTATAAACCATGTGAATAGTTATAATATCGCAAGGTTGTAAAATTAAATTATTCCCTTTTCACATATATAATATGCTATATACCATCTTTTATCATTAAGAAAACAAAACAATAATTCTACAAAATGTGACTGATTTATTATTGTATATAAAATATGAAATCTACATGAACTCTTGACGATGTAAAATCGAGAAGTCACTTCGCAATATAGACAAGAGTTTGCTGCAAAACTATCAGCAGTTTTATCATATAGAACGTATGTGTGTTGATATACCATATGTTGACGAAGAAACTGATTTTTCTACACACTCTCATTCGGTGCGTGAATATATGCGCTTGTTTGATATGCTCCGATTTAAGAAAAAATTTTTTTTTATTCCAACTTTGTTTTTTGATAAAAAAGAAACTGAAGAACGATTATATTCTTTAATTGGACATATGGAGATTCTGGAAAACTATATATAAATACTCCACGTGAACACGTGTGTATTGTAAAATATTGTATATATGTATAATACGAGTGGCACCTTTTCACAACACTTGGATATAAGTATATACTCGTTGTATAGTAGTATATAGAAAGGTATATACTATACGGGAAACGAGTGAGTTTACGGCCGTTTATTTATATGCTTTGATGTGCTATGCAAGAGTAACCACAGAGATCGCAATGTCGCGTTGCAACTTGAATAACAGATCGACAGTATATACGTATATATAGATAATATATATCTATATTTATGTATTTATTACGCTCGCTGAAGAAAATTACATTTGCAAAGTCGTGTGGGTCGGCAATTATTATTATTGAATTGAAGAAATGCGAACAAGTTGGTCCTTTTATTTTTTTTTATTTTCAATTCTAAGTTGATGGTATACATTGTAGGTGTTTCTTTTTTTAAAAAAGTTAATGTAAAAGTTAATCTAAAAACTATTATCTTAATTTTTACTTTTTATTTTGCTCTCTAGTCTCCTTTATTCATAGAAAATTGTATTCCCCTTGTAACATTAAGATTAGATTATTAATAACTTAATTTGAAAATTACACTTTTAGCAAATTTTTTTCAGATGTTCCAGAAGTTACTCAAGTGTGAGAAACTTATTAAAGAACAGTAGAAGAAAAATTACGAATCTTTGATTCAAGCTGAAACATTTTCAAGTTTCTTAAATTTTTAATCTTGTCCAGATTAAAATTTTTGAGAAATACTCAAGTGCTCAAGTGTGAGAAACTTATTAAAGAACAGTAGAAGAAAAATTACGAATCTTTGATTTAATTTAAGGAGCATTTTTATGTTCTCAAAAGTCCAGGGCTCGAATTAGATTCGTAAATACCAAAAAAGTCCGTAAATTTGAGATTCAAATCCGTAAAACTCAATTTTTTTTAAAAAAACATTTTTTTGAAAAGCTACAAATGATTAAAGAAATTAAATTATTGTCAAAATTTTTAATTAACTTTATAAATAATAAAATTATTTTCCGAAATTAAATTATTTAAAAAAATTTTTTCTCAATTCAATGATTTTCAATATATTATCTACTATTTTAGTAAAATTTTCCAAAGAATTCAATTATTAGAAAAAAAAAATGTTTAATAACTTCTTTTAAGCAATTTAATTACCTTCATAAATAATAAAATTCATAGCAAAATTTCAACTCTCTTTTCAATGCAATTTTAATCAAATTACTCGAAAAATGTAATTATTCTTAAAATTTGTATTAAAATTCGTCGAAAGAAATCAGTTCTTTAAAAATTTGTTGATAAAATAAAATTGAAATATTTGTGAGAATTAAACTTTAAAAAACATACAATTTATTAAAAAATTATTTAAAAGTGAATTTAAGTCAAAATTTTAGATAATAATTGAAAATTAAAAGAATTTTGGAGTAAATTTTTTAGAAATAATTGAATTTTGAAAGGGTTTTAAATTAAAATATTAGAAAATATGAATTCTTCATATTTTAAAAAAAAAAATTCTGTGGAACTAATTTTTTTGAAAAATTTTAATACAATTCTTCTAAGAAATTCAATTATGTTCAAAAATTTTTCTTCGAAATTCAATTATTTTCATAAATTTTAAATAAAATTCTCTGCAAAGTTTAAATTATTTTTAAAACAATTGTAATCAAATTTCTCGAAAAATGTAATTATTCTTAAAAACTTTATTAAAATTCATCGAATAAAATCAATTATTCCATTATTTTTCAATTATTTTAAACTTTATTGATAAAGTTCTTTATGAAAATTCAATTTTAAGAAACATTCAATTATTTATTTTTGTATTTAAATCCTTGAATTCTCGTTGAATTTTCCAATAAAAATTCATTTAAAAATTAATTTTAGTCCACATTTTATATAATAATATTGAATATTAAGAAAATTCTGGAATAAATATTTCAGAAATAATTGAATTTTGAAAAAGTTCCAAATTAAAATCTTTGAGAATCTGATTTTTTCATACTTTTGACTAACAATTTTATAGAATTAATTTTTTTTAAAAAGGTTTCATTGAATTTTTTTTAAATTAATTTTTTTATTTTCTAATCTTTATTTAATTGAGGAATTTT